TTCAATAATGAGCAATATAATTAAATACTAGAGGATTAGTTTCGATTTCAATAGTAAATATTTTTAATTGGATATAAAATTATTATTTAATTATAAAACTGTTCTTCTTTTATGCTCTGAACAATTTATTTTATTTACGCTTTTTAATAAAGAATAAATTCATAGAACTTAAGTTTTTGTGAAAATTAAATCTATTAAGAGTGATTATAACATAAAACCCTAAAGATTTTTATATGTTTTTTCCAAGATTACACACTGATTAGATGATAAAGTTATTATATAGTGAACTAAAAAAAAGTTAAAAGAAAATTATAAAAATTATATTATTTTAATCGCAATGATAAAATTTTGTTCTAACAGAATAGAGCTCAATTAACTTTAGCTTGAAATTCTAATAAGCTTGAACTACTTTACATATATTAAAATTATTTAAATCAAATCTCCTATGTCATATTGCTTCATAAATAGATCTTAATTATTATCTAAATCATGGTTGCTTTAATAACCTATTAATTAGTATTCATAGTTATTTGATTTAACAAAAAGAGAAAAATATTCAAACTAAAAAGTTTTTCTAGCAAAATCATTTAAATAATATTGTTTTGATTTAACTGTTAATTCTTTCATTTTTTAAAATATGTTCAATAGGTACTCTTTTTAACTGAGTAATTTCTCGATCCAAATTTAAACAACTATTTTACCCTTTCTATACATTATATTTAATTTCATCTCTGAGAATCTATTTAATTTCTCTATTTAAGGAAAAAATAAAATTTATATGCTGTAATATCATATATTTTCTTAATTTGATACATATCTATTTTAATACAAGTTAATTTTATCGTTTTAAATAGCAAACATCAAAAATTGATATGAATTTTAATTTATTGTAAGATTATCCTCTTATTTCGAGGTCATTCTCTAATCAAGTAAAATTTTTAGTTTACCTTCTATATAAAAATTAATTCTTAATTCGAGTAAAAAAAGGATTTAAATGGATACTCTTACTATTACAAAAAGATTTTTGATGAAAAAAAAAATTAATTTTTGTTTTTTGTTAAATTTTTTTGCTGATTATTCAACTTTATATATATTTTATTTGAATATAATATATATTTTGATATTATAATATTTGTAGCATAAGATGCACTAAAATACTCCAATATAAGTAACGAAACATAAAATAATTTAAGGCTCATGTGATTTCATATCGAAATGATCCAAATGAAGGTGCTATTTATTATACAATATAAATCTTAGACAAAACTGGTGATTATTGGAGAGTTGATAGAAGGTACTGAAAATGAGATTTAAGGTTTTCATAGTTTGAAGATTTATTAAAAAAATTAAAGCTAATTTTTGGGGAATTATTACCATCTTTGCCAAAGAAGAAATATATAACATTTTTAGTTGGTAGAACTTAGGATGACATAGAAAAGAGAAAAATAGGATTGGATATATTTATATAAGTAATTTAATAGTTGAGAATAAGGATTTAGCAAATAGACCTGAAATAGTAGCATCAATTCCTTTCAAAGAATTTTTAGAAATAGAGAAAAATGCAAAAGACATATTAATAAATCCACCTTAGCTTATATTTGAATTTCAAGAATTTAAACTTGGAATAAGAGATTTAATTTTGAATCCAGAAACAGGATTATTATTTGTGCTAATAAGTGACTGCTCTGTAATAAATAGAATTGATGCTTATATATCAAATAGGAAAGCTCCTTGGAAATCTGAAAAAGATGAGGAAGCAAAAATAGCTGTAGGAAGTGTAGAATGTTGGCATTAGATGTAAAATGGAGAATTTAAAAATCTTTGGACAAAAGTATATAATTCTTAGGCAATTACATGTTATTGGGATCAGATAGCATCTATTTTACTGATTGGTTTAGATAGTGGATCAATTAACTGTCTGAATGTTCTTGAAAAAGAGGGTTTTTAAAGATATTCAGAAAGTTAAGAAATCGAATAACATAAAGCCAGAATAATGGGCTTGTATTATGATAGAAGAAATAAATATCTGCATTCTATTTCCAAGGATCATAAATATAAAGTCTTTAATTTACGTTTGAAAGAATTAATTGCAGGTATCTAAAATCATAAAATGTAGATTTTACACCAGATCAACATGAATTAACAAGTTTATTAGTATGCGATGAAAGAAGGAAGGTTTTTATAGGTGATAGAAGTGGATAAATACTTATTTATGATATAGAGAAGGTATAATAAATAATTATTAAAGTAAATGCCTTCATATATAAATAAAGTAGCAACAGGCCAATAATTTATTAGAGGATTGTTTATTGATCATTAAAGAAATTTTTTATTTTCCGTAAGTCATTAAAACGGGGTTGTTTCAATTATTGATGTTTAAAAACCTGGTTAGGAATAATTTGCCAAATAAATAGCAAATTTGAATGGGAAATCTAAGAGCAGAGAAATATGTTGGTCATCAAAAAGAGGAGAAATTTATGTTGGAAATGTAGATGGAACTGTTACTATTTGGGATGCTCGAAATTCACATTAACTATGTAATTTGTAATATTATAAAAGTTGTTTTAAAGGCTCATGATTCAGACATAACAAAACTGCAATGGCTTAATGCAGAAAATACATTATTAACTGCATCAAAAGATAAAAAAATTAAGGCATGGTAGTTACCATAATTTTGGAGAGACCCAAAAGTAATGGAGAAAGAAAAGGAAATAGAAAATTCAATCAGTTATAAAAAATTGAGAGAATCTTTATTTTAGGATTCTAAAATATCTTTAGAGTAGCAGTTAGGAGAAAATGAAGAAAATGGAATGATCATTTGGAATTAACCATAACAAAAACATTCTGGTAATAGTTTTGAAGATTTAACTGAGTTGAATTGATATTATACATATTTTCTCTTTATAAAATATATGAAATATTTTAAATTATTTGACAATTAATTTTATTTTTATAAAAGAGAAATGAATTATCAGAGTCAATTAAATGATAGTTTAATAGAACAAAATCAAACATAAGTGTATTTACCTAATTTTCTTTTTGAATAAGCAAGAAATTAATTATTAAAAAAGAACCAAATCAAAATAGTTGTCTCTAGCATCAAATATTGTTTAGGAATGCTAGTGGTAAGAACATTAATATTTTTAGATCATTTTAAAATTAATATTATAGACAAATTAAATTGATGATTTGGTTGATGATAGCTTTTTATTTAGTCTAAAAAATATTGAATATTGGCTTTATTTAGTAGGTAATCATATTATTTACATAAGTCATTCATAGTTTTATTGGCATTGTCTAATATAAAATCATTTAAAAATTCTTAATTAATAACTTATTAGTATTATCTTTAGCTCTAAAAATGGATTTAGTTAATATTATAGTTTTAGAATAAGGTTTGAATTAACAGCAACTAGAATAATAGATTTAAGAATAAAATGAATTATAGAATCAATAACTCGTTGATAGACTTTTGTTATTTGATTAAAGAAATATAACAATTACAAAAATAAGTGAAGAACTATATGTACTAATAAAATACTTATATTAGGAAAAACTACAGGGAAAAAATAAGTGTTTAATATTCTTAAATAAATTTATGATACTAATCTTTTTTATCATCGAAATGTTTGCAATATTGTTCTTGTTTTACAGTTCTGAAATATACGTTATAGATACTTTATATTATTATATATGCATGAGTTATATGATTTTAGTAAATATCATATAATAGATATAGGTTGTAATAATAGGATTAAACTAATATTTTTCAACATTTGCTTTGGCATTTTTGTACATAATATTTTTGCCAATAATAATAGGATATTAAATTTATTAATGGTTTCGAAAAAGAGAGGAAAGAAGTATGGAGAAAAAAAAAGTTGTAGATATTTTTGATGAAATCATTTTTGATAAGAAAGAACATCAAAATGATAGTATAAAAATCACTTTAATTTTTTATAGTTAATGACTGTGCTATATGTATGTGCTCTTTTGAAGATAATGATAAAGTGATTATTTTGACATGTTCAGAAAAACATGTATTTCATACAGATTGCATAGTTGATTGGTTGAAACTAAATAGTAATTGTCCATTATGTAGAAAATAAGTAGTGGATGAAAAATGAAATGATATTTAATTATTCTTAATATTTTATTATTGAATCATTTATCTAACCTCCCTATAATTTATAAAGAGTCTTTGATTTCTTTTTAAACAATCAGTAGTAATAGTGATATTTGAATTTTTCTGTAAAATTCAAAATAGATCTATTCATGAAATCTAACGTTATTATTATTATAATAAAAATTTTCATGTAAGGGAGAATAGCTTTACTAAATAAATTTTACAATAGTGTTGAAGAATTTAACAAATAAATTCATCCTTCATTAAGTTTAATACCTTTCTTAATATATAAAACAATCCATATTTGAGCTACTTATTTATGATTCTTCATCTGAATTTGTAAATTAAACTCAAAATAGGTTTTGATTATCTTAACAGGGTCAATTCTTTTCCCATAAATTAGATTTAGGTATTAATCATTTGATTCAAATATTGATTCATTTAAAAAAAAGTTTAATCTACCAACCTATATCTTTATATATTTGTTAAAATGGTGACAGTTGAAATCATTATAACTTATGTTACAATAATCAAGATAATAGTTTAGATAATGAGAAGATTAATTAAATATATGATTTAAAGAATAATCTTAATTTTTGTAACCTATCCACTATTCCTATAATAAATTACATAATTAGCCTTCTTTAGTATGATAAGTTCTAACTAAATTTTTTCAAAATCCAAAATTTAATTGGTGCCATATTTATCTCAATATTAGTATATGATGTATAAAATTTCATATTTAAATTCTATTACAACATTCATCACTATTGATATAAATTCAAATTTTTTATTAACCAATTTTAATCTTCATCGCAACTTCTACTCAAATTGCATAAATTCAATTTTCATTAGTTTTGCTGAATATTTGTTATTTATAAAATTAAAATACTAAATATTTAATCTTTATTAATTAAAATTAATTATTTATATATTATATGCCTCATTATTATAAAAATTACTTTTTTAAATAATCCATCAATTAATTTTCATAAAATTCCACTATTTTACTATCAATATCTTGAATTTCTTATTCCTGATTAGATATTTCTAATTTGAATTAATTAAAAGTTGGAGGATTTTAAAGTATTGACTCGCATTCATTATTAAATACCTATTATATTTTTTATATTAATTTTTTTTAAATATATTATTTTTTAAATTGATTTTACCTGCATTTTGTCACCAAATTTGTAACTTCTTCTTCAAATTCTTATATTGATTGGTAAGCTTTTTCAACTTACTATTCTAAATATTCGTTTATTTATTTTTATCTATTATCAATCTCTTACTTATCTATTTCTACGTATTTTTATAATTCAGAAAGACTCTCATAATCTTCATCTATAATTTATTTAAAAAATGAAAAAATTTTTTCCATATTTTCATTTTCTTTCATTTCTTAATAACTATACTTATAAATTGTTTCTATTAGCTTAAAAGGTATCTATTTTTCTGCACATATTTGTTTTATTTTATTTTTTTCTTCATTAAACTTTTCTTTTCTCAGTTTTTTTCCTTATATCTCCAATTGTATTTTAGTCTCTTTGATTAATAACTTTTAAAACTAATCCCATTTATTGTTTTAGTATAACGCATTTTATAATTAATTAAAATCTTAGATATCATCAAAACATTAGTAAATGTTAACCCTTTCATAATTTAAAAATTATAATTTGAAATCCGCTTTTTTTTATGATTTCTCAATAAATTTTAATAAATTCTATTATTGTTACTATTTTTCCTCAAAATTTTTCTTATACATCTTAAATGAAGAGGACTTTCCAATACTTAAAAGAGGACAAAATTTATTTGTTATTAAGGATAATTCCTGAATAAAATTTACATCTTAATCCAAATTATTATAATTTGGAAAAAAAAATTTCAACAATTCAATTAAGTAATCTTATTAATCAGAATCAGTAAAATCAACTAAGGCTGAAGGACGTAATTATTCAATCAATATTCTAATTCTTGCACAGTAATCCATAATAATATCAACTTATTGAGTAATTATTAAATTATTTTTTAATTTTTGTAAATAAATTTACTTATTTCCTTTATATATATTACCTAAATCTGTATTTAATTTAGATAAATTATACTTTTGGAGTTTATCTTCAACATATTTGTGAATCTTGTTTATTTTCTATTCTAACATATATTCAATTAATCCTTCCTTATCCTCATCATCTATAATTTTTTTGATTAAGCTTTAAAATTAACGGGTCAATGGAATTTTTATAAAAATAGCTCTTGAATATTTGTTGAAAATTTATTTTATTTTATGATTGAGTTAATCATCATTTTAAGTTAATTCATTTTAAAAAATCCAAAATTTTATTTTTAATTAATTTATAAACTCATCTTTAAACTAATTAAAATTCTAATCTCTTTCAATAGGTAGATTAATTAGCTTTTATATGTATATTTCTTTATTTTGTTATTTCAAAAATTCTGTTTAATTTTTTTCATCCTTGATATTTATTTCTGAATTTTTCAAACAATTTAAAAGATAATTATTTAATTCTAAATCATCTATAATATTTTATTGTTAATTAAAATATTCAAAAGCTGATTGATCCTTTATAGAGTTATAAACAAATTATAAAGTGTTAAAATCAGCCTCAATCAATTAATCTGTGATATAAACAAAATATGGAAGATTTCCAATTTTCTTATGTTTCTCAATAATTTCTTCAAAGTATGTTTCAGATTACTATTCCTCATCATTTTGTGGATTTGATAAATATAATTTGAAAAGAAATCTTTTCTGAATGTTTTTCATCAACTCATGTGTTTTGTATTTTTATTAGATTTTATGGATTAAATTTTTCTAAATATTCAAAGCTTAGTTAATAACATCAATCAATTCTTTACCATTTTTATCAATATATTAAGAAAGTTTTGGTAAAAGTTCTTCAAATTGTTGTTTGAAAGAGGTACAATAATTACAAACTACTTAGTGTTGAGAAATTATTGATAATTTTTCATTTTCCTTATTAATATATTAAAAGCATAAAATGTATTGCTTATTATATCTATTTGAATTTCTATTAAAATTATCAAACAAAGAAATTAAATTAATGTAGCCTGAAACATTTAATTTATCTTTTAAATATCCAGTTTCCCAAAACAAAATCAAATCACTAATCATTATTTATGTTACAAAGTTGAAGGTTTAATACTAAAATTCTTTACTCTTATTTTACAATGTAATTGTGGATTTGTATTTTTGGGTTCCATTCAAATATTCCGATTGCAGACTATCAAAAAGAAAACAAAAAGTTGGTACTTTTTCGACATATACTGTATTTTTATTATCACGATTGTTCATCTTAAATTAATAGAATTTGATTATAAATATTATTTAACAAAAAAATAGTTAAACTTTTATAATAAATATATTTGTTCATTAACCTAGAGTCTTAACTTTATCATGGCATAATAAGAAGAATTCTTTGAAAAAGGAATTGTATTCCATTTCTTCAATCATAGTTTTATGCAATCCAGTTAAATAGATTTCATGTTAAGATTCTAAGGGATTGAAATAAATTGCATACTCATGAGATTTTCAAAAATGATTGCTAATTTATCAATAGCTTATTCATCAAATACACTAACATATCTAAAGCTAAAAATAATGTAATCTGTAAAGGCTAGTTGTTTGATTTAATTAATATGATTCTGATAAAAATAATAATAATAAATTATACATTAATATTAATATAATTGATTGAGCCACTAAATCTATATAGTGTGTATGAGCCATCAACTTTAGGTAAATCATCATCAAAATGTTATTCTTTTTCAATATATGAAGATCGATGAGCATCATGATCAGTATTAACAATGATTTCAGATGCTGCTCCACTCATTTTTTATGCAAATAAAAATAATGAATGTAAACAACCAATAATAGTACTATACATTGCTCCATAATTATAACAAATCCAAGATATTAATATACATTTAAATAAAGTTAATCTTCTTTTCGTTTAATACAATTTAATAAGATAATTCCAAGGGGGAAACTGATAAACAACTAATAAAATTTAACCAGCTATAACATATAAAGGTATGTTCATAAAAAATTAAGAGGCAACTCCATAAAATATAAAGATTGAACAAGCATTTATTATTGAAGACCATTTATTAATATCTCTTAATCTGATATTAAGAGTGTACATTCTACTGGATGCACAACAAGGAATACCACCAACTAAACCGCTAATAACATTAGCAAATGATACACAAAATGTTTCTTGATCATAATCACATTTCACTTCAGTCAAAGACTAAGCTCCTCTTGCACATAATAAATTTTGTATAGTAACACAAATAGCTATTGGAATACATAATTAAATAATCTCAAAAATTGATTCAAAACCTAAATCTAAATCATTTATTTATATGAAGTTAAATTATATTTTTATATTTCCATAAACATATCTTAAACATTTATCAGTTGGATATAAATTACCAATCAACAATCCAAATGATGTTGTTAATAAAACCCAAGGAAAAGGTCTATGAAATTTATATCCAGATTATAAGAACATAAATATTAATAAAGTGTAAAGTACATTATAGAGATCTCCTCTCTCATAATATTAAATATACATCTCTAATAAATTTGAGTATAATTTTTAACCTACATTTGTATGATTGTCTGTTATTCCAAATATATAATCACTATACAAAATTAAAAACAGGAAACCACTTCCTAAATAAAATCCCTCTATTACATATTAAGGAATATAATCAGACAATTAATGCCATTTAAATAAACTAATTGAATATATCATTAAACCAGATACTAAAGTAGCTAATGGTAATATTTAAATTCCATATTATTATGTTAAAACATAATTCCATCCTGTTATTGTCCAACATGGCATGTAAATTGAATGATTACTACCACTAAAAAACCCATTTACAAATGCAGCTATAAAAGCAGTAGTAAGTCCCATTGCAGCAGATACACCTGAATTAGCTCCTAATGCTAAAACAAATGGCATATTTAATGCTGCTTATGACATTCCACTTTTCCAAGTCTCTTATACATAAAACCATGCACTTTGTAAATCTTAAACTGATAGTCGACTCACTATTGAAAATTTTGAAGGTCTAACTCCACTTACTTTATGATTTTCAACTTCTTTTATAGAATCCATCTCTATCAACAATGGAGCTTTATTCATTCAATTTTTATTTATTATTTTTTTTAAATATTTTTATTAATAATGTGTCATTTAAGAAAAATAGAATATTAATGAATATATAATAATACCAAAAATAGATAATAATATTAGAAAATTCAAATTTCCTTTGATTTCATTAATTTCTTTCAAAATTTAAGACTATTGCATTCTTTACAATGTAAGGCAATTTGTAATTCAAGTTTTGAACGTTATTTTTCAAACATACTTATTTCAATCTTATTTATATATTTTAGTATATTTTAAATCATTACATCAAGAGTCCATACTCAATTCTAAATTCTTGAGATTTAAATCTTTTTGAACATTTAAATTTGTTCGTAATTCAAGCAATCCAAAAGGACATGGAGACAGCATATAAGAATTGCTTTATTCATCTATCTCTGATTGATATTGATTAGATACAATATCATCATTAAAAAATTATTTAAATACAAGATTAATTAAGTGCTGAAAATGATGTTCTATATTAAAATTTAATTAATACGTGCCATTGGATTTAACCCTTACAAAATAGTTTGGATACCTCTAATAAATTGATCAAAATTATCTTCACCCTATAATCTCATAAAACGGATTGACTTTTTATAAATATTTAAGTATTTACTTATAAGAATTCTTTGATTTTGCTTCTAAGTAATAATTACTAATCTATTGAGTTTAATAGAGTTTACTTGATTCTATTTTAATCCATTTACAGAGTAAGCAATTAACTTTATAATTCATTTTAAACAAACTAAAATATTCCTAAAGACTTTTGAACATCTTTTATCAATAATTTCTTTTTTTGAATGTTGTTTTCTTCATATTTGTCTTTAGTAAAATATTAATGATAATATGTCAGATAACTATTTTCATCTTTGCTACTTGTAAAACCATAAAAATTTAATTATCTAATTTATTAAATTTTAAATAACCTTAGAAAACTTGAATATTTAGCGTGCTTGAAATATTTCGGTAATACAATTTATTATAAAAGTAATTTATCAATAATGATAATATTTTTTCCTTAATCATCCCATTTAATAATATCTTTAAACTCATTTTACTTATTATGATTAAGCAATTTATTACTTGTAAGATTTTATGAGTTACTTCTATGAATTTAATTCCATTAAATCTCTTTTATTTTTTAATCATTTTCTCTTGATAATTAAATCAAGAAAATAATTAATTATATTGATATTAAAATATACTTGCAAGAATGTTTCATAAAAATCTAACATGATAAAATTATGAAAATTATAAAATTTATTATTTCTTTAAGCTCATCTTATTTAATTATACTTGCTTTTGAAAAAGCTTAAACAATTATTAAAGAATGAAAATAAATAATTGCAAAAATGGAAACATATAGGTCAAAGCTGTTTATACTTCTTAATTTAAATATATATATATATGCTGCTCATAATATTTCTTTCAAAGACACTGCTTTGCTAACTTGTCGTTGAATGATTATTCAGAGCTATTTACAAGACTATAAATAAAATAAAATTATAACGAGTTGCCCAACTTGTTGTAAGCGCTGACACCATCATTTAACTTAATCTTTTTAATAGATTGTGGTTCTTATTATTGAGTTGTGTCACAATGTTCAGTGCTTTCATCTTAGATGAGCTAGTAATAACCACAACTATTAGAATTGGAAGGAAGATTCAGTGTATTATGAGGTATACTTTGAGTCTTCTAAAACTCATCAACCATATTGGATATGAGGCTGATAATTTTGTTCTTCCCAAACTTCAATTTGTGGTTTCCTGATTCAGTATGCTAAATACTGTAATTACTTACTTGAAGATAATCTTCAATGTATTCTTTGCAAACATTACAGAATATATTGGTTCCCCTTGGTTTTGGTACAAACTATAAGCTAAATTTAATGATATACTAGATTCCTATTCTTTTCTTGAACTTCTGCAAGTTTCTTTTCATATTAATTTCTATAATGGCTACTATGTGATAAATGGATTGCCTAGATAATGTAAATTTTAAATACTTGATCAATTTAAAGAATGAAGCCATGTTAGGTAGGATCTTCATCATTATTAAATATTGGAACGGTATTTAACATGCATCCTAAAGTTCTGAATTTTTAATTTTAAAATTACTCACTAAATTAAGGATTATAATCAATTGCTATTTTAAGATCAAGTCCATTTTAAGTCATCGGTTTTATCATAAATACATTTGTTAGATCCAACATTGAGTTTAATTACCTTTGGTAAGTTGATTTTGATTGCATTTTTATAATATATTATATTTTAATTAATGCTATTAAAAAATGCAAAAATAGTATTTTTTATGATTTTAGGAATAAATGATTACACATTATCAAGTCTAAAAGATTTGATTCATTTTTTATAATATTTATTTATGAACAATTTCCATCATTATAGAGCAACAAGAATTGTCCATTAATCTATAAAATAAAGATCTGCATAAAAGGTCAATCAATTTAGAGCTTCTTTAAAAAGTATGACTAATTTCTTACACTCTAGGTAACGAGCCTGTGGATTCGGTTATTTTCAATCATCCGTAACAAAAAGGTATCAGGATTAAAACAGAGCCACAAAATTATTAAGCTTTCAAAGCCACTTCTTAAAATAAGAAATTTAATTAGTTGCTAAATCATGTAGATGAAAAGGGCTTAAAATTGTCCATTCAGATGGAATAAGTAAGATATAAAAAATAACCTAAATTTCCACCATTAAAAGGATTTCTCTAACACAGGTATCAAATTTAATCTTAATTAAAGTCAAATCCTTGAATAACCTCTTGATACTCCTACTTTTAGAAATAAAAATCAATTATTAAGCAAAACATTAGAGATTGATAATCCATCAACAATAATGGATTTTTAGCTTAATACTATTTGTTTTCCAACTTTTAATGAATCTAAGGAATAAAGTCCAAATAAAGAAAAGAAAAATGGGACTTTTCCTAAATGTATCTTCTTTTGTGATGTAAAAAAAGCTCGGAATTTTTTCTAGATTTCAAGCTAAAAATGAACTAATGAAGTCATATATATTTGTATAAATCATTTTAAAATTTAACTATCTGAGTCCATTGGGTTATTTAATTATGATAAGTTTTCAGGCAATTAGGATTCTTCTTATCTGATAAAACTCTCGTCAACGGATTTGCTCTCTCTCTTTTGATTATTGATGATCTCTTTACTATCCTATTAGTTGAATGGATTTTAGTGATAAACATTTGCCCAAGAGTGCTCCATCCCTTAATTATATTATGAAGCACCAAATTAACTCGTCCCTAATTTTTATAATTATTTATTTTCATCTCTAAATATATAAAAATTGTCAATATACTTTCCAAAATTTGGTGCTTAAGAGTTGCATTCACTATTATCCATAGGATTGTTGATTACTGAACTCATACTCTTTACAGATTATCTATCTTTTTATATTGCATTATTTTTCTAAAGTGAGGCTGCATCTTAAGAATAAATTTAATAATATTATACAAGAACTTTAATTTTAACTATTTTTATCAATTGTTTCTTAATTTGTTAGAGTCCCTTTGAACCATTAATATTCCAATAAAATCACAAATGAAAATGCACCAAAATTTATTGGAGCAAAACACTAATAAAATTTAAGTGTAAAATGTAAACAAGGGCATTCTTATTCTTTTATTTCTAAATTTTTTATTATTGTAAAAATGAACAATGTGATATGAATCAAAAAGAAAACAATTAGAAGAATACTAAATATGTATTATCAATCAATTTACTTTGAAAATGTTCTTAATTCTTTTTGAGATTTTTTTTGATTCAAAATCAAAAGATTGAAAAGTGTGTTAAAAATTAATTGGAAAGTATGATTAATTAAATGAGAGAGAAGTAAAAGTGAGAATTATTATTTGCATTGCAAAGGATCTTCATCTAATAGAATCAAAAATACAAAAATAAATGATGTAAAACAATTAACTTATCTATTTGAAATATCATGTGGAAATAATTTAATGGTAAGAATCTCTATTTCCTAATAATTTATTAAAAACTTAATACTTTTTATAGTAATATCAATATGTAAGTTTTGACATATACAGATAGCTATTTATTTGTATTATTAAGTTCTATAAAGAATTTTAATGAATACACTAACAAAGTCAAAAACAAAAATAAATTCATAGTGTATATAAGAAAGTATTCTAATCTAGGGAAATCTCTTTTAAAGCAAAGTAAAAATATAGCAGCAATAAAATTAAAAGTAAGCATAATGATTGTTAAATAGAGAGTAATTTGTAAAAAAAAATAGTCTTCTTTAATTAAATTATTCATGAGTAATATGATTAATCCTTATTTGGCGTGTTGGAAAAATATATTAATGAGTTTACTTTATTGTTATTTTTCTTCTTCATTTAAATTAATCATTTATTAAAATATAATGAAAGTTGGTGATATTCAAAGTGAAGTCTGCAATAGAAGAAACTAGGTTCATCATCTAGTTGAAATGGAAGAGATTAATTAAAAGAATAATGAACAGCCAAATGAACAAATAAATGAACAAATAAATGAACAAACAAATGAACAAACAAATGAACAAATAAATGAAAAAATAAATGAACTTTTTATTACTGAAGACTTATTAAAGAAATCAATAAAATAGCCTTAGTAAGAACCTGTAGGTTGTTTAGCAAGAATATTTAAATGTTTCAGATTTAAGAAATAATAAAAACAAGTAGAATACTAACCGACTGAATTAAAAGATCATTATAATTTGTATGATGAAAATTGGTTTGATATTTAGAGGAATATTATCCAATAATAATAAGAAACATCGACTCCTGTTGGAAGAAAAGAAATAATTCATATAGTTTCTCAAGATGATACAATAGAAGGATTAGAATTATAATATGGAGTGTCTGCATGTAATATAAGAACTTTTAATAATTTATAAACAAATGATATATTTTACTTAAAAAAATTGATTATTCCAAATCCCATTAATAATTATTAAAAATAAGAGATGTAAGTATTTACTTTTTAAATAGTGATATTGAAAAGTATATATAAGATCTAAAAATTGTACTTTTTTTAGATCAAATTTGTTAGCCAGAAGATAAAAATCGAAAAGTTGCCCTGTATTCTCTATTCTTAATTTTTTTAGCTTTTATTTAGACATGAATAATTGGAATTATTAAAAAGCTGCATAAGAATATTTGGATGATTACAAATTTGAATTAGAATAAAAGAAAAACTAAATTACTTCTTCTCTTAAAGTTTAAGAATGATTTAAGTTCAAAAACAATCATAATTATTAATTTAAATTTATTAATTCTTTTTATGGTTCCACATAAATGAGATGAATATTCTTATGTAAAAAAAAAATTATAAATTATTTAATTATTTATTTAATGTAAGAAAAAAAAATTAAGAAAAACAGAATTATTCATTCTTCATTTTTAAAATTACTTTATAAAATTCTAGAGGTAAACTAAATTAATAAGATAGAATCAAGAATATGAAAACATAATCAGATGGAATGATTTGGGAGATAAATTTATCATTTTAGATAAACCTATTTTTATATCAAAAATACTACCAAAATACTTTAGACATTAAAAGTTTTCTAGTTTTGTAAGGTAAAAATATAAATAATTTAAGGTAATTAAACTTATATGGATTCTAAAGAATTTGTGGTGAAGGAAATAACTCTTGTTACTTTAATACTTAGTTCACTAGATAGAATCCAAACTTATAAATGAAAAAAAAACAAAGACAATTATATTCACATTAAGGATTTGAAACTTCTGTTTTAAAGAACTAAATGAATTAAATTAAAATGACACAATAACTAATAAAATAATAAATAGAAGGATGCTTGTAATCCGTAGATAAATTGTCTAGTATTACTCAATATTTATTGAATGTATAAATCATTTATATTTAACATAGTTGCTCTTTGAAACCAAAATTTAAACATCTAATTAAGCTAAATCTGTACTTAATGCAGCCTTAGAAATAGTTTATGGCATGCTACCTCAATTTTGTAAATAATTTGTAATAATTTAAAAGGTTTAACATTTTAGGAATTATTAGAAATTACTTTTCCTTCAAGTGAAGTCTTATCACTTGAAAATGCAATGTCATATCTCCATAAAAACCCTATATCCCCACAAAGTCATATATCATTACTCTAAATATTTAATTATTTATCTTCCTACTACCCAGCAACTTAATTTTCAAAACATAATGAAGCTTATTCAAATATAGAGTAATCCTGTCGTAATTTAGAAGATTTTGCATGTTAAAGTAAGCAATTAAGAATTAAAGATTGAATAAATTTTAGCAAGAATAATATTATTATATCTCCAGTCCACATTGTTTCAAAATTTTAACTTCTCCTATTTTATACTTTTAATATCATCTATTTTACTTTTATAGAGCATTATAAAAGTAAAAATTTATTACAACCAAATTATTATATTAATTATTCTATACCTTTTTTATTTCTTAAATTTTCATATTTGATACCTTAATTAAAATTTCTTTTTCTATTGTATTTTTTTAAGGATTTAAAGAATTCTAATTTCTTCTAAAATTATTATCACCTGATATAAATGAATATAAATATAAATAAAATAGATCAACAAATAATTTGAATATAATCAAATAACTAGATGAGATTTGAAAGGACTTAAAATTAAAATTCTAGATTGATAGCTATTCAAAATTTAAAAAGAAGGATGAAAATAAATTAAAATTTTTATTAATAGTATTAGGAATTTTTTAAAAGGCATGAAAGTAATTATAAAGCTTTTACAAAGAAAACGCTATTCATTTATTATTCAAAAAATTATTCCCAGTATAAATTCAAGAAATTCCATAGATCATTTATATTAATAAATGAGAAAAAGAATAAAGTTATAAATTTTATTTTTTCCACACCTTTTGAAAAAAATGATTAAAAAATTATTTATCTCTTTCTCAAAATTCATAAGAATTAAAATTTTTCCAAAAGATTTTGTACTTAATTCTTTTTTTGTTCATTATTATATTAAAAATTTAAATATTTATTAAAAAATAAATTAGCGTTCAATATAAGATTTATTTTTATTTTTTTCTCATCAATTATAACATTAAAGTATAAACAATTGTTAAAACCGATTAATTTTTTAGTTATAAATTTATTTATGTATTTAAAAGTATAAGCGAATAAATATGAATCTAAATGAGTCGCTTTTTATATCACCTCAAATACCAAATGTTAATAAAATGATTTAATTATATGAATGAATTAATTGATTAAATTCAAAAAATTTTTGAAGAAAAGCATTTTGAGTTCATTAAAATAAAAATTTTATAATTAAATTAAAATAAATAAACCTTTTGTAATTTCTAATAGACATGAAATAATGACATTTATAATTATAATTAATATATATTTATTCTCGGTCAAAACTTATGTAGTGATTATTTTTTAAACAAAAAGATTATTAATTAAAATGATTGTTTCTCCTAAAGACTTAAGCAATCATAATTCTTCACAAAAACTAAAAAAATGGATTATTCTTTTCAGCTTCTGCTTGAACTCGTAAAATTTTATAAGATGATAGGATATCAAGTGTATTTTTATTTAATGCGTTTTCTCCTATTTGGTCACAAGTAGCAATATACTATAAAACAACAGATTATAATCTAAACTGGTTTTCTAATTGTTATTTTGTCTTACCAATCATTTTAACATTGTTTTTAAATCCAATAATATTAAAATACTATGGATGGACCTAAATAAGTAGTTGTTTAGCAACATCTATTGGATTATGGATAATATATACTGCAGAGAGAAATTACTATATAGGATTATTAGGATTTATTTTTATAGGACTTGGTCAATCATTTTATTTTCATGTTCCATTACGTAAATGTTAATGAAACTTAAAACTAGACTTATCAAAGTTATGGTTTGAACCTGATGAGAGAATAGTTTCAACATTTATTGGATAATACTCTAGTAATATTGGTCTACTTTTGGGCTATGTTGTTTCATCAATTTATTTTTATGATGAGGTAAAGATAATTTAAATGTTTAGGTTGATTAGAATTAATTTAATTAGAAATTCTCAAATATTATATATTTTAATGCTATTCTTGCTACCATATCTGTTCCTCTTAGTATTATTACTCTCTCAAAACCTAGAGAACTTTAAAATAGAATGCTAATTAGAGAAAACCTTTGGAAATCAATTAAAATAATATGTTCAAATAAAGAAAGTATATTTGACATTTTATCTGTTTCAGCTTGTAATTTATTTATGTATTTTAAGTTATTGGTTATGGTTGGTGTTATCCTACTCTTTTTAGTGTTTAGCAAATAATGATAGGATAAACTACTTTAGATATAATTATAAATAGCATAAATTTTCAAATTGGTTAAATTTTAGCTGCATTTATAAGTACATCACGATTATAAAAACAAGCAAGTCAAGGTTTATAATTAAGTTATGATAAATTGATAAAATAGATTCTAAGTGCAGGATTTCTGTTTTTGGTTATAGAAATTCTAATTTATGAAAATCTACCTTACTTTTTATTAGTAGGGTCAAATTTAATTATTGGAGCAGGACTAGGTGGTTTGTATTCTGTTCTATTAGAATCTTTAATGGAGAAACATTATCCTGCTTAAGAATTGGCAATCTCTTCATTACTAGAAATTGCTGCTTGCGTATTTATTTATGTATATTAGAGGCATTTGCTTTATTCATCACAATGATATTAGTAATACCAGAATTTTTGTAATTTGGTTTTCAAATATATTCTTTTATTATGATACTACCGTTTTGCTATATTTATGTCTTTTATAATACAAATTTCAAGAGGTTCGAATATGAAGGATGAATTAAAATTATTTTGATATTTTTGTATAAAATTAACTGTAAATATATGTTAAAAAAATAAGATTTTATTTAAAATCATTAGAAAATAATATATTTGCCTTATTTAATTATATATCATTTTTTTCTTTCTTGTGTTTAGATTAAATTTATGATTTGATCAAGCTTTTAAAATAAAGCCAACTAAAATTTATTTTGAGAAGAAAAAAAAATGTCAAATTTTTATTGAACTGTTTGGAAAAGATTTGCTTCAGAGTTAATATTTTACTAACATTGATTTGATTCTAATAATGTAGAGGGCATTTAAAATAGTGATTAAATTTATGTAGATTAATTTGAATTAACAACTGGTGCTTTTAAGTATTATTAATCAGAATAAGAATTATATGTAAGGATTGGCGCTTAGATTAGAGATTATTAATCTTATTAATTAGATAATTATTTTTTAGTGGGTTTAGTATCTTGCTTTATATTTTAATATTAGGTTTACTATTATTCTAAATTATTTTATTAATTGAATGAATTTTATTATCTTACAAAGTTTTACTATTATAAAGATTTATTTTAAGCACAATGAATATTTAGCTAAATTTAACTTTTATTCAAACTATTTTCTTAACTTGGAAGTAGACTTTGAAAATGTGATAAAGATTAATTTTGTTCATTTTATAATTTTTATTATTATTTTTATTATTATTATTATTATTATTATTATTATTATTATTTTTAGACTACAAGATTTTTTTGTGGGTTTTTATTATTTTTTTCTATTTAAGACACTTAACTTAAATTAGACTCTTTTGCTTCACAATTATTTGTAATTAAACCTTCCTCTATAAAATAAGCTACATTTTTTTCTTAATCTCTTACCATTAATTTTTGTTCCTCTATTAAGTTTTTTTTTTAGTCATTTTTAGATTTGTTTTAAATATTCAATTTATTTAGTTATTATTCATTTTCTTAATGAATATATTAATAATTCTATTGATCAAGAATATTCTAAACTTTTTTCAATTCATTTTGTTTTTGATTTTATTCAAACAATGTATTCTTATTTTTTTTTACAAGAGTAAAATATTTGAGAATTTCTTTATCAAAATTTTGTTGTTCCTATGATAAGATTTCTGAAGGTTTTTAAATTGTATTTTAATTAGTTTATTTTAATTTAAAGTTTTTTGAAAGTAGAGTTTAATTATTTAATTCTTATTAATCTTATTCTAGCGTAGATTATTTTTCTTATTTAATATCAATTTAAAATGGTTGTTAATTTATCAAACTTTAACCATTTTGATTTTTATTAAAATAATTTTCTAATGTTTGATTACCTATTATTTTATTAGTCTAAAGTTAGCTTTGTTGATTGACTATTGATACAGAACTGTATTAATTAGGAATTTTTTCTGAAATTTATTTATTTAGTAATTATTTTTAAACAACCAATTGATTTTTTTAAGTTGTTTTAAACTCTTTTTAAAAGGCTATATTTTAATTTATACTGTCCTAAATCTATGAATCATTAACTTATTTTTATTACTATTCTTATTAGTTTTAAATTTAATTAATATTGTTTTATTTGGTTTCAATTATAACTTTAACACTCTTAATACCTTTAGGTTTTCTATTTCTCAAAATTAGGCATTCTTTTGGATTAATATCTATTTAAAAATCAAATCCATATGATTCTTAAATCCACTATTAAATTTAAGTAGTTGAAATATTTTTTACATAGCTTAGATATCTGATATCCATTTCAGTAGGATTTTCTCCTAGATCTTTGAGTATTCGTTATTTTATTTCATTACTTTAGGCTTTTGATTCCATTTATTTATATAAATATATCATTTTTGTGAAATCCTTTTAACATTTTGCCAGGTTATAATTAATCAGAGAGACAAATTTGAATTAAATTAAATAAATATAATTGAAAATTGAGTTGAAGATAATTCTTTAATAAAATAACTTTGATACAAAGATTAATAAGTATTAATAATGTTATCAAAGAATAAAATATTTATAGTTCACCTCTAAGAATTAAATATCAAAAAAATTCATAAATTCCACTATTTCTTAATGTTTATTCTGGATCATTTGGTAGGAAATCCTTAAACTTTAGAATATTTTATAATTCTTTAATTTCTGATTCATCTAATTATTAGCCTTATTTAATCTAAAGTAAATAAATAAATTAATAAATTACTTGTATTAAGACTTTAGAAAGTTTAGCTTAAGTTGATTATGCAAAATTTGCTAATTTATTATAATTAGATGCAAGATTTTCATGAATTAGAATAACTTCTTTCATTTTTGTTTAGAGCTCACTTTATTTTTATTATTTTTATTATTATTATTATTATTATTATGGAATAGGTTAAACAGAAGATTTTTAGGGTATTTCTTCATCTTTTTGTTATGAAGGTGAAAATGTAGCAAGTTATCTTTATTAAGGTTATTATTATTATTATTATAAAAGTCTTTAAGATTATAATTCATAGCAATAAATTAATAGATCATAAGGTCTTACACTAAAAATATAAATAAAAGAGATTTTACTTATTCTTAAGTATTTTATCTTTAGATTTTTCATCAACTTCTTCTCTAATTCTATTTCCAATAAGACTGATAGCAGAATTATCCATTTATTTAGAAACAACTGAAACCCATTATTCTAAAAATAATTATAAAGTATACCAAAAGTAAGTGGTTTAATTTTAGTTTCTCTTTCATTGATAAAATTGGAATAAATATATTTTCTTAACTTGAGGTAAAATGAAAATTATTCAGAACTAGCTTTAATAAGTTAAGCAGGATTTAACATGATTGTAAAATAGCAAATCTCTTAATTTCCTTTAAGTAAAAACTAAAATGAATTCACAAATGCAGTCATAAATTTTTTAACATTTTTTTGTTAGAATTCCTTAAATTAAATAATTGTGATACTGCATATTTAGAGAGAGCAATAATAAAACTATCTTCACTATATTAACCTTTGACTTGAATCATTAATTGAAGAGTTGCTAAAACATATTCAATAAGAGTTGGAGCAATTAATTTATATTTTTCCTAATTAAGAATTCAATGAAAGACTCTTACATCAAATTCAACTGATAGTTATAATGTTTCTATTGTTTATTTCCAATAGTCAATTGTTTCAGTTTTATAATCAAAAATATTTTGAGACTTGTCACCTTTACTCATATTAACAAAAATAAATTTTCATTATTATTCATTATTTTTTTATGCATTTAATTCTTCCATCAAAGGTCCATTTTCATCAAAGAATTTAGCAAAGATTTCTACTTCTGCAATTAATTTCTCATTATCAAGCATCAATAAATCCTGAAATAAATAATATTATTACTTTCTCTTTCTATATTTATTCTGAACAAGCCTTAAAAATTTAAATAACTTCATTCATTTTACTAATTTATTATTATTCTATATCTGTAGCTTTTTTAACTCTATCTAATAATGTATCTACTTTTTGAGTTTTCTCATTTAATTTTTTTTGTTCTTCTTCTGCTAATTTAATTTCTGTTTTTAAACTCTTTTCTAAATTTTCTAATTCACTTTAAAGATTATCAACATCAAGTTCTGCATTTTCTTAATTAACATCATTCATAAACTTTTAAGCCTATTATACTACATATTCTAATAATAATACATCTATTTTCTAAAGCTGAAATTTATTATTCATATTTTTTCTTAGCTTGTAACATTCTATCTTAATAATGCTTAGTGATTTAAGATTCCTTATCTTTCAATTCTTATAATTCTTATTTTCTAAGCTTTATTTATTCAATCAAACTCTCTTCATCAGGTTATTATACCAATCTTGGTTAAAATAATATTGTTGTTCTGTTATGATTATCATCTTTTTCTTAGTGAATATTTTCATCACATTTGAAACAGATAGAAATATTGCATTCCTTACATCTTACTATTGCTATTAATTAAGCACATGATTGACATTTTATATTATTCATATAAATTTAATTATTATTGTATTCAAATTTAATAATAAAATAGTAATGTAAGTCATTTAAGAAATGATTGAGGAATTTAATACTTTAAGATAATAAGTATATGAAGCTGAATTAAGAATTTAATAATTCATAGATGATGAACAAATGTGTATCAAGTAATCAAAAATTTAAATTGATGAACAATAAACTAAAATTCAGAAATAAAATGCTAAAATTCAAAATGATTAACTAAATAAAATTACTTTGGCTCTAACTAATTCATTGACTAGAGTTATAAAGGATCTTTATTATGATGAAGATAAAGATTTGACAATTATTAAATTATAAGAACATGGAATTATCATTGAATTAGAAATGAAGTAAAATGATTTGAAAAGAATCAAACTTTAATAAGTTGGCAGAAGGGATTATACATTATTAGATTAGGAACATTTAAATATTGAAGAAATGCTTTTGAAATTCTTAGAAAAACCTGATTAACCATTTAGTTCCATTATTATTCCTTTTCTTTAGAATTTGAAATTAATTTGATTATAAAAATTTTATGAATAATCCTTATTTATATTCTTCTAAAGATAAGAAAGAAAAGTTATCTACAAATTTCGGTTCCAAGGAAGCAATAAGCAATATAGACTAAATACTCAAAGGAAATTTTATTGAAAATAAAATAATATAAAAAGAATAAAAAAAAGAACTTAACAATTAATAAATAAATGAAAAGAAATAATAAGATATCAAATAATTATTATATGATTTCTAAATAGGTGATAAAATTATTGAGAAATCTTCAAACCAAAAATAAGTTTAAGAAATAAATGAAATTCCATATGTTTTAGACTTTATAGAAAAAAAAGAAAAACAACAATTTTAGCTACAAACATAAATGGATGAGACAGAGATGTTGAAGGCTTTTAAAAAAAAAATGCATACTTTAGAAGTATTTTAAGAAATAGAGATTTCTAATGAATAAGTGGAATTTTATGAAAAAAATAAAGGAATGATTATTACTAGCATTACATGTTTTGAAAATATAGTAGCTTTTGGAACATCTAAAGCTATCATATATATTTAATGCAATAATCAAATTATTCAATTAGAGCAAAATAAAAAAATTAATCTTTGTTCAATAATTTGTTTAAGTTATTTTGATAAAGGTAAAAAATTAATAGCAATCTCACAGTAATAAATTCTATTATTTATAAAAAATTAATTTACTAAGGCTTTTTAGATAAATATTGAAGGAAAACCAGTTGCAATGACTATGTGTAATAAAGGGGAGAATTTTAAGTTTTAATTTTTGATGACTGATTCATTAGGGAATGTTTACCTAGTTGGGGTTAAATAAACCTTTCTAAATTATGAAATTTAATTTAAATTATTGCTTAAAGAAAATAACATTTGCTATTAAATTGAATCACTAAATTTTAAAGATTAAGAGTATATATTTTTAACTTTCAAGGATTCAATATAGATAATCAATTTAATACCTGAATATCAACTATTAATAAAATTAAATTATAAAGTTCCATAAGATAAATATATTCAAACAAAATGCTAAATTGAAAAAGAAATTCTTAAAATAGCAGTGAGTTATGAAAATACATTAGAAATTTTATCAATTTAATTTGATAAGAAAAAATAAAAAAAATAAAATTTAAATTTATTATGCTCATATAACTTTAATAATGAAGATATTCAATATTTAATATGGCTAAGCAATGATATAATTTTTATTAAACATGAAAGAAAAAGGTATTCTTTAATTTCAATTTCTGAAATACTATAATAAAAAGTTGAATTAATCTAAAAATAATTAAGTCATGATATTTTAAGTTTGAAATTGGGAGATAAATTTTAGGTCTTTGTTAATTCAATATGTAATAGTTAAAATTATTTGTTTTTTATTTCAACGGAATAAAAATAAAGAATCATTCATTATAAATTAAAAACTTGGGAAGATTTTATTTAATAATTTTAATTAAATGGATAATGGAAGGAATAATTTGGAATGGGATTGTATTTGTATTAAGGAAACTTAATAAAATTAGGTAATCTTCCAAGAATTGAAAGATAAGAGTATCTAAAACCATATTTACATATTTAAATATAAAAGTTTGTTGAAAATAGTGTAAAATCTTAAACTTCAAGTTCAGTCTATATTGCAATAGAATTTTTAACTATGATTGAATCATATGAATTTCTATTTAATTAAATATATCTAATCTATAAAAATAATAGATTTGAAAAAGAATTTTATAAAAGTTTGGAATCATTTATATAATAAGGAGTAATAAAATAGATTCCAACAGATTCATTGAAGGATTTGTTGCAGTATTTATGTTAAGAGCATAAAATCAGTTTATTAAAATTGTTCATAGCAAATTTAGATAAAAGATATATAAATTCAAGTCTCATAAAGGAATATTTTATTAGATGTAATTTATAGACCTTATCAATTTATATTCCTTCAAAAGAAATAGATAATTATAAATCACCTTTAAAGACTATATTTGAAATTTATGAATAAATTTTAAATAAAAATTAACAAGATTTACAATACTATTTTAAATCAATAGAAATTGATATTTAAAATTTAAGTAATAAATAAATAGATGAGGAAATTTAAAATTTAGGGTATAAATGTATTTGGTTTTTGAGTTTATTATTTAAAGGAGAATAATTCTCTTAAGAGAGGATTCCAGAAGATTATTGGTCTTAAATAGTAGGTGATATTCTATAATGGATATTATAAAATTAAATATTAGAAAAATTCTTATAAATTGATGTTGGAATATTTTTAAATGAATTTTTGCTTATTTTTAAAGATGATAAGAAATACAGATAATTATAAAAATATGAAAATGTATTGAGAGAAGATTTAGAAGAAGAACTTACATTTAGTGAGATTATTTTGCAAAAGGTAGAAATGACAATAAAAAAATTAAATATGGTTAATCAATTTAATTCTTTTATTTTAGAGATAATGAAATTAGGTTATAAAATAACATATGAACATTTTCTTTAAGTAATGATTCACAATTTAAGAAATCCTTATGAAAATTTATAATATTTTGTTAAACAAAGTAACTTTAAGTATTAAAAGAGGGATTATTAATTTATTCATGATTTTACTAAATAGGATAAAGTAAAAAGAGATAATTTTTTAATATAATACATAACATTTTTTAGAAAAAGATTATTGAATGATGATGCTACTTTGTAAGAAATTTTAACTGAAGCTTCTTAATCTAAACTTTCATGTTCAAGAATTTAATCAGAAATCTATTGTTTAAAAGGGGAATGGTTTAAATGTCTTGATACAATGTTATCATCAACAATAAAAGAAGATAAAGTATAAAATATAATAATATTATTATAGGATTATATATTTAATTATATTGATAGGATTCTTAATTCAAATGAATTCGTTAATTAGATCTAGGAAATTCTTGAATATCTTTTAGCAATAATCCAAAAATTAGTAAGTATTATTTAAATAATTTGAATAGGCAGATATAAGTGTAGAGAAATTAAAGATACTTTTGCATCATTTTTCTGGTGATTTATACAAATAAGCAATAGAAAAATTGGATAGTCATCCAAATTTTAAATTACATTTGTTATATGAAATAATAAAAGAGTAGAGAAGCAAAAATTAAATTATTGACAATTCAATAATGATTTCTTATTTTCGATTACTTTGTAAACATTATCCCGATGATGTTTATGAAGAATTATAATATGGAGATTTTCCATAAGAAGAATGTATGAAAATTTGTAAAGAGTTTAATATAATGAAAGGAATGGCATTTTTAAAAGAAAGAAGTGGATTTTTAAAAGAGGCTTTAGAAATATATTTTGATGTATTATATCAAATAATAATAGGTAATTAGTAAAGATTTTGATTTGATAGAAATCAAGGAATCTTAAATTCATTTAGATGAAGAAATATAAATTCTAATAATTCCTTGTTTAAAAATTTGTAGAGAAAATTATTCAAATTAATATGATAATTTTGAATTATGGTTAATTTTTATTTAAAGGATGTAAAAATTACGTTTAGAATTCTTTTAATAGACTCCGAAATATAAATCCATTAACAAAGTATTTATGGAAATCATAGTTGAAATTTTAGATAGAGTTCATCCAAATTTGATTATTAACAATTTGGGAAAACTATTGAAGAATTTTACTCAAATAAAAGAACTTAAAATTATAACATAAGAATTACAAAAATTATGCTTTTTTTAATTAATTACTTTTGAATAATATATAGGAAATATAATATATAGAAATTTTGGAAAATTAGAAGAGTTATATAATAAAGGGATGAGAGGGACATATTTAATAGCAAGATGTCTAATTTGTTAATAAGAAAATGATTAATATATGTATGGCTTTTTAGAATGCAATCATATTTTTCATAAGTAATGTTTGAAGATGATTAAACATGTAAAAGTTTGTAAAATTTGTTTGGATTAAGGGAATCATTGTGATAAATGTACATTATTTATAGATTAATTTAATTAGTAAAAGTATAATTAGAAATATTAGTTGAGAATAACTATGAATAATAAGATGATGTAGAATTGAAATAAGCAACAGTAGAAGAATAATAGATATTATCGAAGTAAGAAAAAAGAATGATGTAAATAAACAAATGGAAAATGCGTGATATTGAAAATGAATTTAATAAAGTGTTATACTGAGTATATATTAATTATTTAAAATTAAAATGCATACATAGCCAGATCAAGAACGTCTTAATACCTAAGCAAATTAAGCATAAGAACCTATATAAAACAAGGCTCCTTTTTTGGATTTAGAGTCTTCTGGTGATTCTTTGGAAGATGGAAGAGTGACTAATCTATATTTTCAACTGTATTTATTATGATGTCTAAGAATTTTAGATATAGAATGATGGACTTGAGTTTTTTTGTATTTAATTTAATTGGGACTGGATTGACAGTAATTACATTAGAATTAATCCATTATGATGAATTACCAGAAGCACGAAGAGTGATTTTGTGGGTGATCTTCATATCAAATTTAATTTTAATGGGATTAGCTGTAGTTCGTAATTAAGTTAAACTGAAATGGAGAGAAAGTAAAGGAGATGTGTTTAGTGGATTTACAAAAGAGCATGTAGAATTGTTAATGGAAATAATAATTATTGCTGCATCTCCTTTACCTTTCTTAGATGATATTAATTTTTATTTTTCAAATGATTTTGTCGATGGTGATGTAAGATATTAATAATTATAAACAGGTTTATTATTATGCAAATGAACTCTTATGTTTAACTTTAGCATTTCGAATAATTTTTTTCATTCGCACTACATTATTGAATTCATACTGGCATTCCAATAGAACTGATCGTGTATGTAGTTTATATGCCAGTTAAGCTGATTATATGTTTACCATTAAATCATTAATGAGGTAATTATAAATACATTAATAGAAATTAGCCATTCACTGTTAATTATAGTGCTATGATTTTACTTATTTTTGTTTTTGGATATTGTTTAAGAATATGTGAAAGTCCTCTCAATAGAATTGATTCGAGTAGTAATGATTTTAGTAGTTATGCTAATTCTATGTGGTGTGTAATAGTTACAAGCACTACTGTATTTTACATTTTCTATTTTAGTTAGGATATGGTGATTATTACACTAGAACATTATTAGGACGTATAGTAATGAGTGTAGTTTGTATTTTGGGTAATTTTGTTGTCTCATCTATGATTGTAATCATTACTAATGAATCATATTTAACAACTTTAGAAAATAAAGTTGTGATTTTGATAGATCGTTTAAGTTTAAAAAAATAAATGTAATAAGAAGCAGCTATGATTATTACCATTTTTGGACGTCTGTATTATGCAAAAAAGTATTCTATTATTATTCATTATTCAGACATCTTGATCTAAATGAAGAAGAATTTATAAATATGAGCAAAAAAATGAAAAAATATGCAATTTAATTAAAATTAACAACTCGTAAATATGTTGCAGCCAAAGCTTTAGGAAGTTAATTAGAAGAAATCAATAGTGGATTTAATTCTCTTAAAGAAAATCTTAAATAAACATTCTAGTTGTAGGAAGAATTAATTAAAGCTAATGAAAATCTTATTTATAAGATAGATAATAAATGAATATATATACTTTTTATTATTTATTTATGAAAAAATTTTTTTAGAAATTATTATGTCAAGATAACATCCAAGATCAAAACCCAACTAATTACTAAAATTAACACATATCAGATACTAATGGAAGTTAAGTTATTATTCAAAATCATTATTCATAACCTTCTAATCTTCAAAGAAATTCAAGTTTATAAATGTTGCTTACTTAAATTTCTAATGAAAATTTTGAATTTCAAACTAATTTCTCTCAAAAACATTTATTTTTTTATAAGCAAACTCAAAAATAATTTACTTTTCCAGAAGATGACTATAAAACTAATCACAAAAATATTTTTGACTTATACTATTAGAAAGCAATAACTTATGATATAACTTATAGATATATAGCACCTCATTAATTAGGTAAATACATATCAAAAAGATGTATTGATACTGATTATGTACTAGAAATTAATTCATAATTCAATCAACATTCAATATAAGTAGATTGTTTTAGAATATTTTTAGTTTGCCAATGCTGGAATCTTTGTGACTTCTATTGAAGCAAACTAGAAAAATGCTATTTCTGGTTTCAAGAATATTATCTAATATGATTTGTAGAATAAAATTGATCTATTTTATGGGGAATTCTAATCAATGGGAGGAAAATTTGATTTATATGATGGCATCTTTATTAATTTATGTAGCTATGAGAAAAGTAAATAAAATGATTTTATTAAAACTTCAATCTAGAAGTGTTTTATACTTAATCCTAATATCATTATTTTAACAAATCAAAAAAAATTGAATTTTCTCTAGAATGCAATAGAAGATTTTGTTTATTTTGAAAAACAAAAAATTATTATTAATGATATACATACATTTACAATTTATTATTTCGGAAAATATTGTAAAATTTAATAATAAGAATTAATTGAAGCTATTAAAAACATATTTATAGTTAATACTTAATAATAATTTGATATAAGTGCATCTATAAGAAATCTATTAGTAGAATTATTTGAAACAATTCAATTTTCAAAAATCCTTTCAGTACTTTTAATGACATTTAATTAAATTAGTGACAAATCAGAAATCTTAAATGTCTTTTTAAAAGAACTTGAAAAATAAAAAATTTTATCTTAAGAGAGAATAAAGCAAGTATTTGTAATAAAACTAAGTAGATTTACATTCAAGGGGCGACATCTCCAAGTACTGTGAAATTTCAGAATCATCCAAGTTCAGTGAATAGAATAATAAAAGGTATATAAATAATAAAAATATATGTTTAGAAGCTTCAGAATCATCATCATAAAGTTATGCCTCTTTTAATATATTGTTGTCGTATTAGTTAAGAAACTCTGGATACAGTTCATACGAATAATAGGTTTAATCAGCAAAATTTAAGGATGAATGATATACTAATATAAATTTAATATCATGGTTTTTTGAAAGCTCCTGATAATTACACTGATCCCATTCTTTTAAATTAAGATGCTATTTTATTCTTTTAAATTTATGCCAATTGTTCTTAAGATATTTATTTCTAAATGGATGCTTAAGATTGATTTTGACTTATTGTTGCCTAATAGTGTAAAATAGATAGTTACATATGATTAAGACAGGGGAGTTTAACTATGTTTATTGCTTTATGAATTGGATTTATCTTGTGTTTCTTTAATTTTGGTGGTTTATTTTTTGGGATTAGGTTTAGGCTATTACAATCCAAATGGAACTGAAATATTTTAGACTGATCCACGACTAAATATAATGTGATAAATAATTACGCAAGTTAATTAGTTGGTTTTAAACTTTAAGAACTTTAAAAAGTATTTGGTTTGATAACAGTAGAGGCCCTTCCAGCAGATCTTTGAAAAGGATTTTAAACTTTCATAGTATTATGAACAACACTTTTACGTTGAAAGGGTTAAGCATTTTCATGTTAAGAGCTGCTTCCAAACATTTTAGTTTCTGGAGAGCCTTTAGGTTTGATTTTAAGAATTCTTTTTTTTTCTGGAGGTGTAAGATTTAATTCAACTGGTTCTGCAGCTTATCCTTCATTTCCACCTGGTTATATTTCCATTGCAATAATTTTATTCTCATCTAACATTTCATTATATTTAATAACATCATCTTCATCAAATTCAATAACATTTTTCTGCATATGTTCAATCAACATATCGAAAGATTGACGATAGAATAAATTGGCTAGACAATTTGTTAAATTAGTTGAGTTCCTTTGATAGATTTACCTCTTTTTTTATCTGTATGCTAAGTAAATCAATTAAAGTTGGTTCATTGCTTGAGATAATGAGGTTTTTATAAATCTATTCAAAACTTTAGATAAAAGTTTTGCTCTGTTAGGAATAGCACATTCACTATATGGAGTAGAAGGACTCTTATTATTCTTATCAGAGTTAATCCTTCCTCTTAATTATTCATCATTTAAAATATTCTAATATATTTTTGATCTATCATTCTTATTTCCTCTTTCTAATTATTTAATAAACATTTTATCAGTTTCTGAAATATCAGAATTGGTAGTTTTATTAACTATTGCAGGTTCATCTTATCCATTTTCTGTTACTCCAATTTTAATAATATCATTATTACCACGTTATTCAATTAATTAAATTTAAGAGAGTCTTTAAGTAGGTCTCCTTACAAAATTTTATTCTTGATATTTTGGTATTTTCATAGTAATACCTCCTTTAATTTATTTGATGTAAGTACCATCCTTATTTTTAATAAAATCATTATTTTTGTAATATGCCAAAGATCTGTTATTAATAATTTATCTTCTGACTAAATGTAATCCATTTTCTTATAATTCATCCATTTCTCCTATTTAAACTTACTCATTTTTATATGGTTTTAGTATGAACATTTAAATGTGTTTTTCTTTATTATTAAATTCTTCCTCAATCATTTAAAGTGTTTCATTTTTTGCAATCACTCTTTAAAATACATGATTACCTATTTCAATCCAACCTTATTTAGTTAATTCTAATTAAAATGAAACTTCTTATCTTGCAAGATATTTAACATCTTAAATTAATTCATCTAAATCTTCTCCAAATGTATTTTCATTCGTATATCTACGTTATAATCTTCTTTCATATTTATTAGTATGCTGATTTTTTATTAAAATTTCTTCTTCTACATATTTTCCATTAACACTTAACTTTTAATCTAAAATTCTTATTTAATTTTGTTCATCTATAGATCTATATTGTGAATCTCTATGTTCTTAACTATCTTCATCAATTTAATACATAGATCTTTTATTCTAATTCCATTATCGAATTCCTTGAGGAATTTCAGAATCACTCAATCTTCTCCATCCTTATTATTATGTCTTTTAATATTCATTAATAACAATTCTTGATCTAATGATAAATCCATTTGGTTATTTCTCATTTAAATTCTTACTGATAATCACTTCTGTTATATTGACCAATTTTTAAATTGCATAAAATTCATTATCTTTTCCACTACCAATAATCTCTGTAATTTCTTCTACATCTTGATATGGATTATAATCAGGATCTAAATTAGTAACAATTTTCCTTGCAATAATTTGATTTCCAGTATCATCTCTCTCCCTCAAATTCTCTCCAATCTTTAAATGTTGATTGCTCTAATATGGAAATTTTAGTTCATGGATTTCTTGCTCTTAAGTATTTGGATTTGTTAAAATATGATCTTCTTCAAGATAATATAATGATGTTGGATCATCAGGTATCAATTTATTTGATAATATTGGATTTATTACATTATTAATCTTTTTCTCTAATTATCCATTTGTTCTACTCCAACCATCATTGAATAATTATCCTTATGATTAATTATTTTTTATTATTTTTCTAGATAATAATAATCCATCGCTTGGATTTATTGGTTCTTCTCCTTCTACATATGGACGACGTCTTAAAACTATTTCTTATTTCCCTGTTTCCTCATTTTTTATTAATATTTGTTCTTCAACCATTTATAAAGATTCTTATGCATTCAAAAGTAATTCTAGATTTCCTTAATTTTATTTCCATCCATCTTTCTTCTATTATTCTGAAGATAATAAATTCTCAACAACTCTTCTAGAAATAACAATATTTCCTCTTTCATCTGTCTCTTATAAATCATTTCCTAATTATGCTTATGCTGAAAATACTCTTCTTATTAGTTTTCTTTCCATCATTCCAGTCTCTTCATTATATTAAAGAACTTCCTCTTCAATGAATTTTATTGGTTCCTATTAAGCAACAACAATCTCAAAATGACCATCCTCATTTTATTTCCAATCTTCACTTGAACAAAGATTAGAAACAATTTTTCTTGATACCACTTTCTAACCATTATTCATTTCATCAATTATTTAGTCACCTATTATTGCATTTCTATCATCTTCAGTTAATGGTCTTCTAATTAATTTTCTTTCCTATTTACCTGTTTTTGAATTTACAGTTATAATTTCTTCTTCTACATATTATTCTGGTTCTTCATGATTAATAACTTTAACCAACTTTCCATCTGATTCTCTTCTCCATTATGCTAATGATTCATTATTTTCAACAAGCTTTCTTGATAATACAATTGTACCATCATCTTTATTTTCATTAATATTCTTTCCAAAATTAACTTTTTAATCATTATATGGTCTTCTAATCAATTTTCTTTCCATCATTCCAGTTTCTGGATTCACTTATAATACTTCTTCTTCAATATATTTTAATGGTTCAGCTTCGCTAATTTAATGAATCAAAACTCCTTGATCATTTTATTACCAACTAGTAAATGCAAAATCTCCATCAACTATTCTTCTAGCAACTACTTTAGTACCATCATTTAATTATTCATTTATTTAATCACCAATCTTAAATTTATCATCTTCCATCATTACCGGTCTTCTTGTTAATCTTCTTTCTTACTTTCCTGTTCTTGGATTATAAACTAAAATCTCTTCTTCTATAAATTTTTAAGCAATAGCTGATAATATCTTTTCTAATGTTCCATCAGCTAATTTTGTCCATCCTTCCTTTTTTAATTAAGTTAATGATTGAACATTTTCAATTAAACGTCTTGCCAATACTCTATTTCCTTAAGAATCCTTCTCTTTTATATCATCTCCAAATTTTAAATTCTAATCTTTAATTGTATATTATCTCCTAATAAGTTTTCTTTGCATTTATTTTGTTTGTTTATTTACAATTAAGATCTCTTCTTCAACATATTTAACAGGTTCAGCAGCACATAATTGTACTTCAAACATTCCAGCAGATATCTATTTCCATCCTTATTATAATTAAAATTCAGATGAACTATCATTCTCTACTATTCTTCTTGAAACAACCTTTCTACCACCTTATTAATCAAGAATATCATCACCCATTTCCATTTTCTCATCACCAGGTAAATATGGTCGTCTTGTCAATCTTCTCTCTTATTTTCCTGTCTTAGGATTTATAATCAAAACTTCCTCTTCTATAAATTTATCAGGTTCCTGCACATTTATTATTTTCTCTAAAACCCCTTGATTATTAATCCATCCACCCTTTTATAATTATTAACTTGATTCTATATTTTCTACTATTTTTCTAGACAATATCTTATTACCATTCTAATCAAATTCTTTTAATTAACCTAACTATAAAGTTGAATCCCTTTTTGCATCATATTATCTTCTAACTAATTTACGTTCATATAATCCACTCTCTTCATTATATACTAATAATTCTTCTTCAATCATTTATGATGGCTCTTCCATTGTTATTTCTAAATTTCCATCCTTGATTTTCCATCCTTCTTAATTCAATTGATTTAATGACTATTCATTATCTACAATTCTTCTTGCTAATACTCTCTATCCACCATTCACTTCATTCAATTCATCACCTATTGCTAAATCTTCATTATAATATGGTTTTCTAATTATTTTTCTCTCCTACTTCCCAGTTTTAGGATTCACTATAATGACTTCTTCTTCAATATATTATAAAGGCTCTTAAGATATCACTTTCTCTTATTTTTATACATTCCATCCATTAGCTTATAAACTAGCTAATGATTAATTATTTTCCACAACTGTCCTTGATAAAATTCTATTACCATCATTATCAGTCTCTTATAAATTGTTTCCTATCTTTACTTTTGGATTATATGGTTTTCTAATCAATTTCCTAACTAATTATCCATCCTCTGTCTAAACAAGAATTTCCTCTTCTATAAATTTAACAGGCTCTTTTGATACTAATTCCATCTATCCTGATTTATTATCTATCACCCATCCTTCCTTTTATAATTAATCTTAAGATTACTCATTTTGTACAACTCTCCTAGCAACTACCGTAAGATTACCTCTTGATTCATTTAAAGAATCACCTGTATCCAATTCTGAATCTCCTACTTTCATAGGTCTAC